TTATTGTCTATAAGTCTATTAAATTATGCTTAGCTGCTTTATAGAATAAATAGAACACACTATTTTTGGTAAACAATAAATTACTAGCAACTATCAACTAAAGTATTTACTAATTTTATTAGTAGTGATAGCTAAAGTATTGAAAATAATCTGAAATTGACTTAGATAATTTAGGTATATTATAATAATTTATACATGAGAAATTTGATTTAAACATTGAGACATTTTAGTCCATGAAAAATAGTAGAGCATATCTAGGCATACTCTGTTCCTAAATGTATGCTAAAATGAGTCCTATAACATCACTATATGGCATATACATAATGGAGCAAAATTTAATAACTAATGAACATACAATATTAAATATAATATAATGAGAACAATTAAAAATATAATAGGTATATTATACAAAATAAAGACAATAGAAAATGATTAATTAATTATTAATAGTTTATTAACTACAATGTTTATAGCTTAATACATCTACCATTTTTTGTTTTAAGACATGGCCCTCTTGAATCTTTTAGTTGTTTTAAATATAAAAAATACTTATAAGAAATAAAGAAATGTATGAAAAGGTTTCTTTGCAAAAAGTTTTAAATAGAATTTATGAAAAGCTGAATTAAACTAAAAATGTTTCAGTCAAAATATCGTAAAGGATAGGTAATATTAAACCACAGAATAAATGCAATTTCAATCATAAGCATAAATTCCATGAATAATAATTTCATTATGATAAAAACCAGTGGCGGTTTGACAATTTTATTTGGTCGAGGCAAGCCTAAAATATATAACCCACCCACCCACCACTACACATATTTGATATTTTACCAAATAAAAAATCAGTTTCGTTGAGATATTAGTGCTTTAATGTATTAATATATATTATTTTCTTACAATACACATATATTAAAATAATAAATTACATATTTATATACAAGAAATACAAAATACACATATAAATGTATTTGTTATTTTTCTAGTTTATGTAGAATTGAAAATGTACTAGTAATTTTCCGAGTTTTCTCTAACGTTATCATAGGTGTAACACAAAGATTTATTTCTTTCAATTTACATTATAATTTTTAATCGATTAGATTAATTTAACAAAATTGAAAAAAAAATTTATATTTTTCGTCAACTTCAGATTGATTTTCACGTTGTTATAATATATATTTGATCATTCTAAAATTATATTTAAAAATTTTTGGTATGTTTATATATATATTTTTTGTTATCCAAAATATATAATTTTGTTACATAGTACACAAGATTATTTTCATATAATAACCAGTCCACCACGAGTTAATAAATAAAATAAAATAAAATAAACATTTAGTTAGCTCTGGAACTTAGTAGAGAAGACACTGGTTATATTTTTTTGTTCACTGTTAATAGTTTATATTATTTATAGACAATATGACTTATCTAATTAAGAAGTTTAAAAGGTTTCTGAGGATTCAAGATCGCTGCGAGAACGCAGAAAAGATTTACGAATAGAATGACCGTTGCTATTGTTAATTCCAAGTAATTACCTAGTATAAATATTATTTTGTATGGTAGTAAAGAGTAGTACAGTTGAAAAATATTTAAAATATTCACCACATAATATTATATTCATGCTTGCAATCAGTGGCGTAGCCAGAATTTTTTAATAAGAGGGGGGGGGGTTTAAAGTGGTTTAAGTGTATACTTTTTTTTTTCCAGTTTTGAACCGACGGCGCCGCGGGAACTGCTTTCGCATTGCCTCCGCGAAAGTGTATACTAAGGATGATTCAAAATATGTATTTTAATTAGAATTATTTTGTTTATAATGTAAAAGTATTTGAAGTTCATTGCATTAACTATAGTCTTCTTATTTTGATTGCTAATTTACTGAATAATTAAAAATATTAAAATAATTAAATAAAAATCAATGGGGAGGTTACAACACCCAAAACCCCCTTGGCTACGCCATAGCTTGCAATCCATTCATAAAATGACATATATTTTACTCGAATAACAATGCAATAACACTTTACAAAATCGGGGTTTTGAAAATAACTGCTTGTAATATTCCATTTTACAGATGTAGTCACAAACAACTGAAACGTCCATCTTTTCTTGACATGTTTAAGAATATGTTGAAATGTCAAATATATCATCATCTTCGATTTAAGATCGCGAGAAAATGTTTGGGTATACACACCAGTTGAACATTTGTATTAGAGGATTAAATAATAATAACTTGGTCTCGTTTTTAACAGATTGTAACATCATAATCCATGAAACATGTAGTCAGCCAGTATAGCTGAGAAGCCGTTCTTGTCATCAGTGTCTAAAGAGGATGACCTACCTCCGAGGTCTTCCTCTGAAGATGAGGCCATCACCTTGGCAAATTATGTAATACCGAACGTAAGTGCATTTTTCAACTTTTATAACATAATTTATTATTGTCAAAACGCATGTCTTACATGTTCTAATAGCGAATTTCAGAGTAACGAAGTTGTACAACTGGATGAAAAAACGAACCCCGAATCAATACCACTGTTACCTAACAACGATGTAAGTACTTATATTTAAGTTAAATAAATAATTATTATCGAGCAGAATTTAATTTTTCATATTAATGTATTATCTTATTGTCTTACTAGTGATTACATGTACAAGATGCAAATGAATCTATTTGATAGGTCAACGACGGAGTACTTTTGGACAAGGGTAAATTAAAATTAACATGGGTATACTTACTGTTGTGTAGTATTAATATGAATAATAACACAAAGTATTTTATATTCCTTAATTTTTAACTTTCTAAATCGTAATGATTATGTATTCAATGTGTCTACTTCTTAAAGACTGATAGACAGTTTACACCAGTGGCGTATTTAGGATTTATTTGAGGGGGAGGTATGACTGAAATAGTTTTTCTCCTTCCACTTGAAATACATGAAAATACTATAATTTTATTTTAACTACACACTTCATATATATTATATCTATACATAGTAGGTACATAAACCATAAACCTTATAATTATATAATATAACACATTAAATATTGAATCATTTATTTATTTATCATTTACAAAACTAAAACATGCTAAAAAAAAGTCAAGGGGTAGATATATCTCCCTCATCTCCCTCCGTAAATACACCACTAGACTACACTCACTATATTGTAATAAGATATTTATAATTATTATTAATATAAATACAACGTGCATTAAACATAAATGCTGAATATAGAAAGATTTTACTCGGTTTGCCTATAAATTATTAGTAAATATATCGCAGACCAATGTATGGAAATGAAGATAGTTATATACCCATTTGCAGAACAGGTGGAAATATTATTCAATTTGCCAGAGTTAGCGATTCGGGTACTATAAAAATATTTCATTACTTTCTTAGTGTAAATTTCATTGTTTTTTTTATTTTTGAAATGGAATATTAAACTTTTTTCTGAATAAGTAATAATTTAATAATAATTATTAAAATCTTTATACAATTTAGTTGTAGCAATCAATATCGACCCGGCGAAAATCAGCGAAGAATAACGTGAAAGTGTATAATGTCTATTATAAAATAACGTTAATAAAATTGTTGATAATTTTTTTTAAATTGCTCACTGATTACAACTCGCAGATTGCATTGTTACATCACCACCTTGGAGTGGTCCCACTTATAATCAACAATCATTATTTAGTTCTAAAAATATTTTAGTTGACAAAATTTTGGAATTAGAGATAAAAGTGGCACCAAAGATTTTATTACACATGTCTAAAAACCTAGACACAAACGAAGTACGAATTTATACATTATTATAGTTAGGCTTCGATATAAAATATGGTTTAAAAAATAATGTTTTTATATAAATTGCTTGACATTAATTTATTTGTATAGTGCATTTTGATTGGAAAAAATATCAAAATAAGGACCACAACTCCAGAAGATTTTCAAAAACATTTTAAACGACAACAATAATATGAAACTTTATACCACGATCGTACGGAAAACTGTTAATAGAGTCTTGATGGGTTAGATAATATAGCAAATGGAGCATAAGGTTTTTGATGTCACTACTACTCGAATACCTATTACTGTTTTCAATTTTGTGCTTAGGTTACTTTATAAATGCTTGGCGCCTTATATGTAATGGAATGCAACCGAGCATACAAAGTTTTTCATCGCTATATAGGCACTAGTGCACTACATAAGTTTTTTAAGTCGTAATAATGACTAGTGAATAGTGAGTAGTGACTATTATTAATAGAAAGCTTTCGAAATATTTTATTACAAGGTATAATTTGTTATTAGAAAGAACGCTATTTGTTTAATTGTATACGAAAGATTTGAAAATGCATACTAAGATACGTTTACTTACTTTGTTTACTTATTGAGCAGGTTTTGTCAGGTTGTTGTTACTTGTAATTTTAATTTTATTAAAAACGTAATCATTTTATAGTTGTTGTGATGAATTTAAGATCTTATAACATTCAAAATTGTTTTCAATGATATTCTCAAAGCACGCATTACTCCATATAGAATCTAGATAATGTTCTAATTTATAGTTTTTATAAAATCGATATATTATTACTTAAATATTGTTAAGTATTCAATAAAATGTCCATATTTCTTATTGATAAAATATTAAATTTAAAATAGATAAAAATGAAAAATAAATATTAATAATAATTAGAAAAGTTCTTTCACTTTCAGGTTAATGATAAAAGATTACCGCCAGATAAAATATTTGAATTTGTATTATACAAAGAGATTGTAGTAGCATTTGAACAATTTTATTGTTAATTTAATTATTTTTACAGTTATTTTTTATTTAATTATATGAAGTATTATGTATTAATTATTGTTGTTAATTTTTAAGTGATACTTAACTAGTATTTAAAATAATAAATATATTGATCCGTTACTCACCGATGGTACTGTTATCAATTTGGTGACGAATGAGGGCGAATCATGCCGACGGGGCGATGGCCAATGGTCGAACAGTTGATATCATTCATTAATTTCCGTTCGTTGCCCAGCTACTTGGGAGTTCATCGTCCGTTCACACTTCAATATTTGCTGATTTTCATTTTATCGAAAAAGTTTTGTTAACTTTGATTTCAACAGCATTTCTTTGAAAATTCCAAAAAGAACTTAAAATGACTTCCACAAATTTCAATGTTGGTATCGGTGACATCAGAAGAAACACTAGCAAGTAAGTTTGTGTTATATCATGTTGTTTTCTTAATTTGCGTTTACGTATGATAATTATTTATTACCTCTTGGTTAAGAAAATTATGAGTTGTGTGAATATTTTGACGTTTATATTATTTCAATGTTCACCTATTTTAAATTTACTTTGTCATCGGTTACTTTTCATTTGGGTTTTCTATACATTTTGTTAGGGGTTATATTTTCCCGCTAAAAAGTAGAACAAAGGATGTGTTCCGTAATAAACGCCTATATAGTTATATTTTTACGATCGATATTGAGAATAATAAATTTATTGTAATTACATAATAATAAACCAAATATACATTCCTAATTCTTGTTATATTTACTTGACATAGATAACTTATTGTTTGTCTAAATTATGTATGTAAATTGTTAATGATTTTACCAATTAAACTACAGATAATATTTATTATTTTTATGGATTATTTTAATGTTTTAAACATATCTTATTAATTATACGATCCATTATTATTTAATTTCAAATTTTTTTTTTGCTGCTCTAATTGTTTAATAATTTATACGTATTATTGTACTTGCAACATAGGGATATTTGTAGTTAGTAAATTTTTTTATTTAAGTATTGTAAATTGGATCATAATTAGGAATCAAATGTAGCATGAGTGTGTGATACATAAAGAATACATTTTTATAATATAAATATAAATATTAATCATCAATTTATTATTTATCTCTGTTATTCTGTGTTTATTTAAACATATTATTAAAACAACTTTATTCTTGAGATATACCATGGTGGTTGAAATTACTAACACAAAAAAAAATTATGAATTTAATATTTTTTCAGTAAATAAGTTCTTATTTATATTTTATTACAAAAAATAATGTATATTAAAATTATTAAAAATTATTAATACTTCCAATTTCATTTCACTGTTTAACATGAATTACTTTTATGTGATTGGATACTAGGTAATTGTTTTATGTTGTGATATTTTAATTTTTGAGTTTTATTTACCAATAATGTTGTTATATTACTAATTAATAATTATCTTACCTTCTATTACCCATCTATATAATATCCTATTAGAATCAGAAATATTTCATAAACAGTTTTAGATTTTATTCAAGAGACTTATTACATAAATTGGGTAAAGTAAATAAGTCAGCTTGGAGCCATAACTTAGTTGGACTTCCAGATTGTGTAAATACACCTTCATTTTTCTAAATTTAAATAAACGTAGAAAAATTATTTAAAAAAAGTCTATTATTAATAATACAAGTGTATTATAGTATTGAACTTATGTTCTATAATAAATGTTTTGCAATTTTCTGTTTATTAAAAAACTTTTTTGACATTCTTATACCTTAAATTCCCATTTATATTTTATTTTCTTATTTATGTATTCATAAATTATATACTTAGTTGAATTAAAACATATTATGTTAAAGCTAATATATATATTAACTTGAAATTTAAGTCTTAAATTTGTATTACTAAGGTAATAAGTTATTACCCCTTGTTTTAATTTTAGACATAGGAATGTAATAACATATTTGTAGCAGTGAAAAGGTTTATATTGTCACAATTATTCTCTTCCTGGAATATAGTCACCAACATTGTGTTAATACAGATGATAAAATAACAAATTATTGACTATTAGTTTATTAAACATGAATTTTGAATATCAATAGGTACATTTAATTAGAAAAAATATGAATAGATATCAAATAAGTAATGTTAATAATATTTATGAAAATGGTAATTAAAATATTATAAATACAGCTATTTAAGTTTTACACATATGAATTTAGAAAACAAATTTTGCTTTTTCACTATTACAAAAAAAAAAAATTGTTAGATAATTTAAAATGTTGCTATAAAATATTTTGTCAATTTTATTTAAACATAATTTGTTTAAATATTTTAGTATTATAGTATTATTTCTTGCTCATATTGTATTTAATAAAAAATTTCTTTTCTCACTTCAGATTTTGCACATTTTAGTGGTTTAATACATGATTATTTTAAATTCATAAATTATTGATTTAATTAATTAATTAATGAAGCATTATAATATGTATTACAATAAAACAATTTTATGTTAAAGCTCATTATAAAATTTTAATAAGATTCTAAAAAACTTATGCTAGATCTATGTAACAAACAAGTTGAATAAATATTATCATTACTTTAATACAATAGAATTTATTTAAATAATTTATTTTTTAAATAAATGCAATTAGATGATACATAGGTATTCCATTCATATTTCCTTTTAGAAAAAAAAAATGTAAAAACATTAGTTACTAATTTATAAAATGTTTATATAATGTATACATTAATTAATTTAACTCTAAACTTAACTTTTATTAATTTACTATTTTATAACAATTTAAGTTGAATTTTTGAGACAAGTTCTACAATATATTGTAATTTTTAAATTAATGTTAGATTCAATCAATATTTATTATGTTTAGGCTTAAATTTTATCTATACAATTTTAGTTTTTATAAGTTATTTATTTATATTATTATAAACCTAATTTAATATTTTTTTAATAGAATTATTTTTTATACATAGGTAGTTAATTTATTATTTTAGTCATTTTTGGGTTTTGACTCAATATGCAAAATATTTTATTTAAGCGTTTAGTATAATATTAATTTGTTAAAACTCAAAACAAAAAGTGGATATTTATGATTAAGATAATTAAAAAGTAGATAATATCATATTCTTCAAATAATTTAAAAAAAAATTAATTTCTAGGTTTTAAACTAAGTTTTCTGTATAATTAAAATGATTTTATAAATTGAATAATAAAATTTAAAAAGTTATTAGATTGCTAAATACTACTTAATATTACCAATAATTATTGATCTATCAATGTGTTTTTACATGTACTACCTACAATTGTACCATATATTATACAGATATTAGTTCCCTAAAATATATAAATATATAATATCCTCTTAAATCTTAGTAACTTGGTATTAGTTTCAATTTATAATCAAATGTTTTTTGTAGACAACGCCCTTCCTGGATATCTGTTGTACGTAATCACTTACCCTTAATTGCTTATTGTTTCAAATTCTATATTAACAAATAATAATTGACGATTTTAAGGAGTGGTATAAAGTATAAAAATTAAATTTAATAAGCGGTTTTTTTTTTGTTAGAAATATAAATAGAACACAATATATATAGACGTAAGTCTATTAAAATAAAACGAAACTTTTAACAATCTACTATTTAATTTAATTTTTAAATTGTCAAAATGGTTAAATATTTTCATCATGATTGTTTAAAAAAAAAAAAATAGATTAACATCAATAATTTATGCTAACATGTAAAATATTATTTATGATCACAGAAATTTCAAATTATTGTTGTTTTATTTTAGGAAAAATATAAGTAAATACATTAAAACTAATAAAAAGTTATAGAATTGATTAGTTTTTATTTCGTTATAATTATATTCCTTTGACGAATTATTGTAACTAAAAATTAGTAAGTACAAATTGTATGTTGATTGTGATTTAATATTTGTTATTTATGCATTTTATTTGATTAAAAACAATTATGATTTGAAGTTTTGACTAATTAAATTATTAAACATTTTCAATAAGAAAAATTTGATTTGTATTTATACGGTTAAATGATATACTTAGACAGCATGTCATACAACTTTTCACATGTTCAGTATTGTACCGATATGTATCACTATAGCAATTAGTGTGTATACACTATACGATTTCTTCCTAGAAAATCTTGATCAGTTCTTGTATCAATTTTACTATACATAAATAAGTATTCTCAAAGCTTATTTATAAAAAGATTGTATATTTAAAAAAAACGAATGTATCAGCTATTTTTAAACTTGCTTAATTCATATAAATCTCTAAAATATTTCTGGTCTAGTTCTTTGGGGGTCATCAGTTGAACAAAAAAAAAAAAAAACGGATAGATACTTTAAAATAAGTTCATAATCACCATCTTTTTTATTTTAATGTAAAAGTATTGATATCATTATATTATTTCATTATATTATTTTGTGTTTGTATTATAGTTTTTGCATTTGTGATGTATTTTAGCAAAAAAAAAAAAAAAAATGATTGTAAAATATTTTTTGTGTAACAGTTTTAATTTTTATCGTAAATAATATGTAAATACTATAAGTATTTCACAATCGGGTTAATGTCCTTAATACAGTACAAGTATCGTAAACCAAAAATAACCATTCACAGATTCAATATAATAATATTTTTTGTTCTTTGTATAACGAAAACCGTTAGTAGTCACTACTCAGAGTAGGTAGTAATATATCTAAGGCACATTGTGTACCATTAAAAAGAGATAATGAAAATGCACTCATCATCATGGGAAACATTATGAACCATGGATAATGGTCTGTTGTCCAGGCAAAATGGTTTCATAATGATCATGCTGGAGCTGGACATTGGTATGCCCAGTGGTTTTTCGTTGGGCGTATATAGTAATTTTTAAAAAGAAAATAACTTTCGAAACTCAAGAGTTCAATGTTTACAACAGTATTATTTATTCCATTTACTACTTCAACCTTTAAAGTACTTGATAACAATACAAATTATTTCATATTAAAATTGTGTTCGCTCCTTACGAATTCACGTTTAATTTTAGTAGTAAATATATAGTCTTTAATTTTTAACTTTTGATATATTATATAGATTTTTTTATAATAATGTGAATCGTGTATAGCTGTAACTTTAAAGCGTAAGCGTATCTTAAACTTCATTTTCTCGAAATAGTTAAAAATATCATAGTTAATACATAATATTTAACATTTTAAAAATACATTATTTGTATATTTCACATCTTATTTCTCCCCGCCTTATTTAGAGGCCGATGGCATTATATTATAATATATGTAGTGTATACTGGGTGTTGAGGACAAAGAGTAAATATGATGACCGTTCCGGTTTGGATTTGATTGTTCCGCTACGGTTTTATGTTATATAATAATGTTCTATTAAAATGAACAG